GCATCGACTCGTCTTGTCTTCCTTACTCAGTGCCCAACTCCCAAGCACACACGCGGTGAGGGGTGATACCCTGGCTTGGGGCAGCGAGAACCTTGCTCTTCAACACTTTAAAGAGGCCTTGTGCAGATTTACCCAAGGCAATGTATTGTTTGATTTCTTGACCTCTGCTTCCAATGAGCATGGATTGTGGACCTAAGCAAGACAAATCTCTTGACGGCTTCAGTCTTTTCTTGGTCACCTACTGCACTCAGCAATGAGCTGATTAAATTTATAAAGGGGCCTAGTTGGCATCAAGAAAAAAACAAGACCGCGGAGAAGCAGCGAAGGAGAAGGAAATGGCTCTTTAATGCTGTTCTCAGCAAAAGCACACTGGCTGTGTAGTCGATTCGATTCCCACTCACGTGACCCCGGTAAGACAGGAGGGAGGGCTTCTGTCTTCAGGGGAGCGGCTGTCTCATCTTTCTCCTGTGGGATGGCTTCACACTGCAGATCTTTCAGGTGGCAGCCAGTGCTTAAACCACTGTGCCAGCAGGGGTACTTGTGCAGGAGTGGCACAGTGGGATCCTATAGGACAAGAACTGCCTGTGGGACGTTCTGAGACTGTGACTCTTTACGGGTGTAGAAAGCCTGTCATAACTGATGCAACGGTTTACTGGGGATGTGTGTGGGGCTGGGTAGGGTGAAGAGATTTGGGGAACTTTAGAACCGATTGTGATGATGCATATAAAACTCTTTAAAAGCAATTTAACCATGGATGTGTATGAAACGTGAATATTGTATCAAGAAAACTACAGAGGGGGAAAAAAGTCTTGTCTTTCTCCTGACAAGTGCCTGGGAGTTTCAAACCGATAACCTTGTGGTTGATAGCCCAACATGGTGTGCACTACTCCACCAGAGACCTCTCTCTGCAGCTGTTGTTAGGTCCTATGGAGGCAGGTCCGACTTCCAGGGACCCAAGCACACAGAAGGATCAAGGCTTCGTCCTGTGCGATCCTCACAATTGCTCTTACATTTGAGCCCACAGTTCCAGCTGCTGTGCCAGTCCATCTTGTCCAGGGCCACCTTCTTTTTTGCTGCCCCTCTGCTTTACCAAGCCTGGTGCCTCAGCCTTTAAAAGCCTAAACCAAGTCGTTTCCGACTCATAGTGAGCCTTTTGGACAAGATAGAACTAAGTGCCTCTTCCGCAGTTAGGAAGAAGATCACAGCCACTGAGAGATGAGCCAGGAATCCATGCAGCCACTGCCCTCTGCCGGCTGGCCTGGGCAACACGGCTCCCGGGGAAGTGTGTTAGCCGGAGCTTGGCCTTGAACCTGTCTTTGAGCAGGGACAGGAGCCTCTGTGGCACATTGGCTGAGCACCCTCCGACCAATGGAAAAGGTCTGAAGCCCATCAGCCGTCCCATGGGCAAAAGATGAGGCCGTCTGCTTCAGTGGAGGTGGCGGCCTGCTCAGCTCTGCTCTGCAGAGGGTTGGAATTGGGGTGATGGCTGGCACCCAACCACTAGAGTGGCCCCTGCAGAGAGGATCAGCTCTGTGCCACATGGCGTCGCCAGGAGCTGGCATGTGCTCGGCAGCAACAGGCGCCTACTCCCCCCACTGTGGCATCCTCATAGGGTCTCTTCCCCTTGAGAAAGTCTCCCTGGTGGCTCACTGCCTTTCCCTCATGTTCTCCAGAGCTCTCTCAGGTGCCTGAATTCTCTGCAGGTGAGAGCTTATGTTCGCCAACATGAACGATACTTTCCGGCCCCTTGTCCTTTGCTCACGCTGACCCTTCTGTTACATTGGCCAGTGTCTTCTTGTACATCAGTCTGGTCGTTCTCCCAAGGGCAAAGCCTGAGGACTACACTCAAAGTCTTGTCAGTTACCAAGATATAAGGGTGCCTTCCAACCAACTTGCTCATTTAATTCTACAGATTCTCATCCATTTCACAGCTGAGGAATCAGAGGCTTAGAAAGGTCTAGAGATCCACTGAGGATATAATGGTACACAAGTGGTGTGCATTCACCTACTCACAGCGCTGTGCCGGTGAGCGTGTAACAAGTGGTTCTCTGCAGAGAGAGGAAAAGCCCAGGTTTGCATGGTACCCCTGCCCATGGTATAAACCCTTCGGCTGCAGTTTGCAATCGCAAGCACCCAATGACACCACGTGACAGTCTGGCTCACAAGTGTCTCCTACACCATGTTCTTGGTTGACTATTGACACACTGGGCCTGTCATTTCTCCAGTACTTTGGTGGCATTAAGGAAAACAAACTCCAGGCTTCAAAATTACCTTGTCCATCTCTCTCAAACACTACAGCTAAGCCAAACCCATTGCTGCGAGGAGATTCCAAGCCTCAGCAGCCCTGCAGGGCAGGGCTGTGAATCATCACGGAAGCAGGTGGTCTCATCTTTCTCTGGTGGAGCAGTTGGTGGGTTTGAACTGCCAACCTTTCAGTTAGCAGCTATGGTAGTTACATAATCTGGTGTCGACTTGAGACTATTAAGAGTGAAGGGGTGCCGTTTAGCCTGTCAATCAGGTGGCAGCTTGATGACCTCATTTGGAAGCACTATGGAAATAAATAGCTCACTGGAGGCCAGACCCACACTCTCTGCTTCCACTCCTTGTGAGACATTCCTTTTGACAAGCCACCTGGAGCTACACTGATACAGCCAGAGCCCTGGAGCTAGGGAGCCACGTGGAGACTCGTGTCAGTACTGGGATGCTTCCACCACCACTGAATCTACAAGACTTTCCACCCAGTGCCCTGTGATCTTCCTGCATTCAGTGTTATTGCACAGCTACATGAGTCTAAAGAGGAATTTATGGACTAGTATCAATATATGGGCTAATATTGGATTTATGGATTTAATCTGGGCTGGGATGTTTTTTTAATATACAACTACTCTTTAATATAAAGCTCTTTCTTATACACATGAGTGTCTCTGGATTGTTTCTCTAGTCAACTCGGACTAACACAGCAGCCCTAAACCCCCTTGTGCCACAAGGCTCCTTCAAATGTTATAGGTATTACACATACCAGCACCACCCTTCCACCTGTCACCCTTTCCAATCCAACACAGGTGAGGGTTTCCATGACAGTAACTGCCACCCCATTGTGTTAGCTGTGTCCTACTGTCATGAGGTTTCTGCTGCCACTGGCTGGAGAGTCCGTCAACTCCAGAACCCCCATTCAGGGTCGGCTTGGGCAGGTCAAAGCTGCTGAAACTGTCTGGGGCAGAGTTCCCCCAAAGCAACCCTGAGGTCATTATCTGAGAGTGAAGTGTTTGTCTCCGGAAACGCCCGTAGGGGCTGTGAAATGGACTGGGAAGGGGAAGTACCCCATCATGCTGTGGAAAGAACTCAGAATCTTATGGCAGGGGAGAGAGCAAATGCGCATGTGCATAACACAACCACCCACATGAACATCTGCAAGACCCCGAACCACACCCAAACCACTGCCAGATTCGGACTCACGGCCACCCTACTATAGCAGAGAAAAGACTGCCCGAAAGGCTCATCTTTCTGGTGAGACGCAGCTGGTGGTTTTGAACTACTGACCTTGTGGTTAGCAGCCCAGGCCATAAGCCACTATGCCACCAGCCTCTGTTCCGAAAGGGCAGATGCCAGCTGGTTTTACCAGAAGGGTTATGCGAGAAACGTCAGCCTTACCTGTCTGCTTTATAGTATTTGCTCCTCAAAGTCTCAACAGAAAAAGAGGCCCAGAGCACTGGCCCAGGCCAAGCGAGGGTGGTTTGGTCAACTGCATCTGCCTTCTCAAGCTTCCAGTATCCAGGCCCCCTGCCGTGGGTTCTCATTGGAAGCTCCCCCTTTTTTAGGAGGCTCCCCCCAGGCAGAGAACAGCAGTGCAGTGGCTGCAGACCAGGCACCTTCTCATACATGCCATGTGGACACCGGGTATCAGGTGTGTCCCCAAAGCAAGCTGGCAAGGAGGACCTGCTTCTGCACAACCGAGCATTTCTGCACCCTTGCAAATGCTGTCCTCGTATGTGCGAGGCTGGCCCTGCAAGACCAAGAGCAGGACTGTCCACACACGTGTGTGGCCCACAGCCCCAGCCTCAGGCTCTAGAGCTCACCTGCGCACAGGCCAGCGCGGCCTGCCCCCAAAGCGGGGCAAGCAAATTACCGCACACTGAAGCCCCGCCCTGAGGTTGCACGACCCGCCCCTAAAGGCAGACCTCTTCACTTATGACGCCCCGCCCTCCATTCCTTTAACACTAGGAGGCCCCGCCTGCTATCCCCAGTCTCCAATTGCCTGTGGCCCCGCCCCCCCCACCCCCCCCCGAGGAAAGTACTGTGAATGTGGGGCCGCTCTCCTCAGCCTGAGGCCCCGCCCACTGGGGGTGTACTAGCTCCACCTCCGAGCCCCGCCCACACGCTGCTTCGGAGAGTCTAGCCCCACCCCCGAGAAACGCAACCACGTTCCGCGTTCGTTGCGGTACCCGAGTGACACTTCCCTCACGTCTAACCACTCTCGTACAACGTTCACCAGCTTTGAGGCACCCCTCTCTACGTTACCCTCGGCGAGGCCTGATCCCCTGAGTACTTCTTACACCTCAGTCCCCGTCCACACAGTACTCTAGGTGCCGAGGCCCCGCCCATTATGCCGCCAGAAGCGCGCTCACACGTCCCCAGCGACGTCAGGGCCAAATCCTCTACGGCGCCCGGAGTCCCTAAAGTACGAGCCCCGCCCACCAAGGAGGACGTCCTACCTATAAGTCGCCCATTGGCCTATCCTGTTGCTCCCGGCGTCGAGGCCCCGCCCCCTGCGTGGTGCGTCACACAGGGCCGAGGCCCGCCCACACGTCGCCGCGCGGTGCCGAGGGTTGGCCCAACAATGCTTTCGGTGCCGAGGCCCCGCCCCCTGTGCGGCGCTTCCCCACGTGCGAGCTCCGCCCACACGCCGCCTCGCGTCGCTCTCTGCGCCGCGGCCCCGCCTCCGCGTCGCCGCGTCCTGCTGGTCCCGCCCCCCGCCGCCCGGCGAGGCCGCCAGGCCTCCGCGCGCCGTTGGCCGTTGGCGCGGTTTGGCGGTTGTCTTGGAGAAGCAAGATGGCGGCCACGGCGACTGCGGTGGTGGCGGAGGAGGACACGGAGCTGCGGGACCTGCTGGTGCAGACGCTGGAGAACAGCGGCGTGCTCAATCGGATCAAGGTGCGGCGGGGAGCCGAGCGGGGCCGGGTGTCGGGGGGCTGGCCCTGCACCCCGCTCCGGGGTCCGCCGTCTGCTGCCCCTGGGCCCCCGGGTGGACTCGGCGAGCTGGGGCCCCAGGACAGTCCCCGCCCTGCCGGCCGAGTGACCCCATAGAGACCTCATGCACAACGGAAGGGAGCACCACCGGTCCTGCGCTCTTCCCACACTCGTTCCCGAAGCCACCTTGTCCGTCCGTCCCGTCGGGGGTCTTCCTCGCTGACCCCCCGGGCCACCGAGCGCGATGCCCTTCCCCAGGGACTAGTCCCACCTGAGTTCATGCCCAAAGTAGTGAGGTGAAGTCTCCCAGCCTTGCCTCGAAGGAGCACTTGACTGTACTTGTTCCAGGAGAGATGTGTGTTCTTTTAGCAGCCCGAGGTGGAACTTTGGATTCTTGCCCACCACCACGCAGGTCCACTGCTTCTTCCTCTGCCCTCCTTATTCAGGGCCCGACTTCCACATGCAGGTGACATGATTGAAATACCGTGCCTTGGGTCAGGTGCACCGTAGTCCTCAGAGGGACATCCTGGGTGTTCAACGCCTTAAAAGAGGTCTTGTGCCGCAGGTTTGCCCCATGCGGTGCACCCTTTGACTTGACGGCTTGCTTGACTGCTGCTTCCACGATTGTGGGTCCAAGCAAGAGGACGCCCTCCACAACGGCTTGACTTTGAGTTGTAGCCCTGCTGAAGGCTGCCGCCCTTGATCTTCCTCAGCAAGTGCTTCGGGTCTCCTCGCTTTGGTGTGCATGTCGCAGGTGGTTAATAAGTTTTCCTGCAATCCTGATGCTGTGTTTTCCATATAGTCCAGGACTTCAAATCCTGATGCTGTTTTCCATATAGTCCAGGACTTCAAATCCTGATGCT